TATTTTTCTTCTTAAAATTATAAGAGACTCCTTCACTACACTTGTATAGGTTGATTTTGTCTTTTCTGTCTAACATTTCTTATCAAGATGTGTTCAATTTTCTCTTTTTGAAAGGTTATAGAGATCACTTTAAACTCCTGTAATTGTTGATTTTGAAAACACATGATAAACTACCCCCCCCCCTTTAGATTGCTACTAAGATTATCTAACTTGGGGGACATTCCATTAGGAAGTGTAATTTGATTACCAGATTCACTGTGAAATAACATTTAGCTGCAAAATGGATAATTTCATAAAAGACCATATTCAAATCTACCAATAAAGAATAAAGTTAAGTGTTGTTTGCCTGTGTCAGCACTTTGACTACTGAAGTATTAGTTACATAGAAATCAGTTTAAATTCTAATTGTTTTACACATCTTGGACATAAAACATGGAGTGATTTTATCAAGTATGTGAGTTGTTTAACTTCTAGCTCTACAGAAAATACTGTATTAACATTTAGTTAAGTTTTAAGGGACCAATTTTTAAATTAAAAAAAAAATTTAAAAATGTATTTTATTGATTATGCTGTTACAATTGTCCCATTTTTTTCTCCCTTTTCCCCGCCTCTGCCCTGTCCCTCCCCTCCCACCACCCTTCTCTTAGTTCATGTCCATGAGTCATACATACAAGTTCTTCGGCTTCTCCATTTCTGTACTATTCTTAACCTACCCCCATCTATTTTGTACCTACCATTTATGCTTCTTATTCCCTATACCTTTTCCTCTATTACTCTCCCCCTATCCCCTCCCTGCTGATAACCCTCCATATGATCTCTATTTCTGTGAATCTGTTTCTGTTCTAGTTGTTTGTTTTCTTGTTTTTTTTTTGGGTTCAGTTGTTAATAGTTGTTTGTTGTCATTTTACTGTTCATAGTTTTGATCTTCTTTTTTCTTAGATAAGTCCCTTTAACATTTCATATAATATGGACTTGGTGATGATGGACTCCTTTAACTTGACCTTACTGGAGAAGCACTTTATCTACCCTTCCATTCTAAATGAGAGCTTTGCTGGATAGAGTAATCTTGGATGTAGGTCCTTGCCTTTCATGACTTGGAATACTTCTTTCCAGCCCCTTCTTGCTTGCAAGGTTTCGTTTGACATGTCAGCTGATAGTCTTATGGGAACTCCTTTATAGGTAACTATCTCCTTTCCTCTTGCTGCTTTTAAGATTCTATCCTTATCTTTAATTTGGATTAATGTAATTATGATGTGCATTGGTGTGTGCTTCCTTGGGTCCAACTTCTTTGGACTCTTAGCTTCCTGGACTTCCTGGGAGTCTTATTTCCTTTGCCAGATTGGGGAAGTTCTCCTTCATTATGTTTTTGATTTTGTGCTGATCATCTTCTTCCAGCACCCCTATGGTTTGGATGTTGGAAGGTTTAAAGGTATCCTGGAGATTCCTAAGCCTCTCATTTTTTTGAATTCTTGTTTTTTCATTCTGTTCTGGTTGAATGTTTATTTCTTCCTTCTGCTCATAATCGTTGATTTGAGTCCTGTTTCCTTCACTGTTGGTTCCCTGTGCATTTTCCTTTATTTCACTGTTCATAGTCTTCACTGTTTCCTCTATTTTGCAACCATACTCAACCAATTCTGTGAGCATCCTGATTACCAGTGTTTTGAACTGTGCATCTGATAGCTTGGCTATCTCTTTGTTGTTTAGTTGTATTTGTTCTGGAGCTTTGATCTGTTCTTTCATTTGGGCCATATTTTTTTGTCTCAGCATGCTTGTAAGTGATAGAGCCTTAGGTATTTGCCAGGGCAGGGAAACCCAGGTTGATGTGTTATGGTGCTGTATGTAGGGGAGGGGTGTGAGAGGGAACAATACCTCTTGCTCAGTTTTCTGCTGGCTTTCAGTCACTCCCCTACCCCCCAATCCACAATCAGATTGGATGCTTCTGGTGCTGATTCCCAGGTGGTTGGGTTTGTATATGTTCTAGCACCCTGTGGGTCTCACCAGTGAAGACTCCTGTGAGCCTGGAAGTTTCTCCTGCCACCTCATCCCTGGCAGGTTTTTTTAGTCAGAGGCTTTCAGGCTTCATTTCCAAGCACTGGAACCCTAGGTTGTGTGGTCTGTCTTTCTCCCCAGTTGTTCCTCCTGGTTTATCCACATACAAATGTGGGACCACCCGCTCTGCCAGCCACCACCTTGCCTAGTCTTCCAGCTGCAGCCTCGCTTGCCTGGTCCTCCATCCACGGCCTTGCCCAGAGTCCTTTCTGCCTCTCCTACTGGTCATTATGAGTGTTTCTTCTTTAACTCCTTGGTTGCTGGACTTCCATATAGTTTGATTTTCTGGCAATTCTGGTTATTTTTTGTTTTTAAATTTTTTGTTGTCCTTCTTTTGTTTGTGTGAGAGGAGGCACTGTGTATCTACCTACGCCTCCATCTTGACCAGTTTTGTTTTAAAGCTGTAGGAAACGTAGAAAACTGGTATTACTTAGTTTTCTATTAGTATACTTGACTGGGAACTTGCCTGATACTGACTTTCATTTACAATTGGGCTAAGGTATAAGTTTAGTATAATGTCACTGTCAGTTAGTGTTGCCGACAATATCCTCCATTTCACATTTCTGTGTTTTATAAAATTCTACTCTAAAACTGTATTTGTTGAAGCTTTACCACTTTAAGGAGAATGCTCATTAAGTGTCGGGTATTTTATACCATTTCAATATGTACATCAGTAACCCACAAATCAGTAAATCCAGTAAGGGCAATTTTCATCAGTAATTCTGCTTGCTCCATTTCAGTAAAAGGTGGTCTGGGTAATCAAGTTGATGTCATGTTTTGAAATATTTAAGTTATAATGAAGCCCTGGCTGGCGTAGCTCAGTGGATTGAACGCGGGCTGGGAACCAAAGTGTCCCAGGTTGGATTCCCAGCCAGGGTACATTCCTGGGTTGCAGGCCATAACCCCCAGCAAACATTGATGTTTCTCTCTCTCTCTCTTTCTCTCCCTCCCTTCCCTCTCTAAAAATAAATTTAAAAAATAAAGTCTTTAAAAAAAAAGAAATATTTAAGTTATAATGAAACAAGAGATAAGTTTTGGAACTTAGGACATTAGCATTTTTTTCTAATGCATATTTAGACAGGTATCATTTAGGGTATAAGCTTTAGTTTTAGTTCATATTGAATAAGACTAGGGAATTTTATAAAAGAGAACCTTTATAAAATATTAGTAGTAGTTGAAAAAGTAGTTGAACTACTTTTGTACAACCTTATGGGATTAAGTTTTATATGAAACCATTCTCAGATTTCAATAAAATGTATTTTGAGTGGATACATATAAGCTTAATACTTTTCTGCTTTATCTGAATAACCAGTGATTAAACATTTAATCTAGTCATTATGGTTTCAAAAATAATTAAAAAACTAATTTTTATAAAGTATCTACTTTGTTGGTATTCACTAGAGATTTCATATTTTTATAAATAGGAGATCTGTTTCACATGTTTGGTGTACAAAGTACCAAGATTCAATGCCTTATCTTTAGGGGCTGCCCCATCAATGACAGGCAGATTAAGAACTTCTAAAGCAGTGATTTTCAACCTCTTTTATCTCATGGCACACACAATCTAATTACTAAAATTCTGCGGCACACCAAAAGTATATTTTTGCTGATCTGACAAAAAATATAATTTTGATTCATTCACAATTGATGGATATTGTTGTGTCAATCGTGGTCATTTTTTAATTTGACAGTCTAAGGGTAAGAAGTCAGTGTCCCTGACTAAATAGTCAGGTATTGCATGTTTTAAAAATTCTAGCAGCACATCTGTTGGAAATTGCTGGTTGAAAGTTTACTTGGTGGGCTTTTGTTACTGTCCCTGCTGTAAGAACAGTTGATACCTAGGGGAGGGTAAAATGTCTTTGAACCCACTGTCAAAACATGGCTGTCCCACAAGTAATCCTGTTAAGTTGTCAAGCCCATACACAAGGGTACTTCTGGGATCTTGTCACCTGGTTACTTCTGGTAATTGGTTAATGACAAAGGAGTTGTGCTCATTTGTTTCACTCACTTGTCATTTAATTTTCACTAGCCTGTAAAAATAGACATTGTTCCTTTTTGAAAATGAGGAAACTGAGACTGACAGAAGTTGAATAACTTATCCTTAATACTGGGACTTCGCTAAATCCTACTCTTAATTGTGTGGCTTGCTGTACTGTTTCCCCCATTATGTCCTTTATTGCACCATGCAGTCAAGTCCATATTTGCTGTTTCAGTCTGGAACCTGCCCATTTTATAAAGGGAGATTATTCTCTGAGATCAGTCATATCAGAAACTCTTCCATTGTAGGGTCTCTCTTGGAGACTTTTAATGGTTAATTAGAAAAAAGAGTTATCAGTGCTTAAAAAAACCATTTAATTTTGCCTGGGTTTGTTAAAATGATACTGTAAAAATATTGGGAGAGCCTGGGCTATAGAAGACTGAATAGAGAAATTACTCTCTGGTTAGCTGTAAGATAATTTTCCTGCCTCAACGGTTATGTTTACTTATAGCAATTTATGTTGATACTTTAGAATCGGCATGAAAAATACTTTTTCACTTCTATTTTTAGCTGTATGTAAAAATACACAATGCTTACTACATATATATGTTGGTGAATTGTACATATTTTAAAAACTGAGGGCATAAAACAAAAGGGATCATAATTTTTATATATTTTCATGTTCATTCACTTTCAAAAAATAAAGCTGTTGGTTGCTGAACAATGCTTCCTTTGTCTATTTTCTTAGCTTTTAAAATACTTTAAAAATGCAGTTTTTAAAAATGATTAGTTTTATTTGATATGCATAGTCTTGTTTTGTTTGACAATCAGTGCAAATTTTTAAAAGTAATGGTAATTGCTTCAAATTATTTTCTTTCAAAATTAGATCTTGTCTGTCAGCTGTTTTATATGATCTGAAATTATGTGCTTGTACATACACCCAAACTGATACGTTATTATTTTTACTTCACAGGAGCCTTCTAGAACAGTTTCAGGCAGATACAAAAGGTAAGAACCTTTAAGATATGACTTGCAACATATTGTAGACATGAGTGTAATGTCTGTCTCACCATGGCTTAACTAACTAGAACTGTTTCAAGGAGCTTTTTGAAAAAACAAACCCTTTACACTGTGCTCTTAAAAAGAAATTACACTGTAGGCAGGAGTGTAATGTCTGTCTAAACAAGACATATTCTGGCATCCCTTGCAGTCTTTGAAATTAGTGTACATGGTGAGTTTCTGTGGGCCTGATGAACTTAGCAAAATAAAAACTTAGAATCGTTTTCCTGGTATATTTACTTATTTTTAATTATATTTTATTGATTATGCTATTACAGTTGTCCCAATTTTCACCTCTTTGCTCCCATCTACCCAGCTTGCCACACCATTGTTCACATCTATGAGTTGTGTGTGTAGGTTCTTTGGCTACTCCATTCCTTATACTGTACTTTACATCCCCATGGCTATTCTGTAACTACCTATTTGTACTTCTTAATTGCCTTACCTCTTCACCTATCCCCCCGGAACACTCTCCCATCTGACAACCATCAAAATGCTCTCCATATCCATGATTCTGTCTCTCTTTTTTGTTTTCTTAGTTTGTTTTTTAGATTCAATTGGTGATAGATATGTTTTTATTGCCATTTTGTTGTTCATAGTTTTCTTCCATTTCTTCTTCTACTTCTACTTCTTCAACAACTACCTTTAACATTGCATATACTAATGGTTTGGTGATGATGAGCTCCTTTAGTTTTTTTCTTATCTTGGAAGCTCTTTATCTGCACTTTGATTCTAAATGATATCCTTGCTGGGTAGAGCAATCTTGGCTATCGGTCTCTGCTTTTCATGACTTTTGAATATTTCTTGCCAGCTCCTTCTAGCCTGCAAAGTTTCCTTTGAGAAATTATCTGACAGTCTTATGGGAACTCCCCCTTAGGTAGCTAACTGCTTTACTCTTACTGCTTTTGAGATTCTCTCTTTATCTTTAATCTTTGGCATTTTAATTATGGTGTGGCTTGGTGTGGGCCTCTTTGTATCCATCTTATTTGGGACTCTCAGTGCTTCCTAGACTTGCTTGTCTATTTCCTTCACCAAATTAGGGAAGTTTTCTTTCACTATTTTTTCAAATAGATTTCCAGTTTCTTGCTCTTTCTCTTCTCCTTCTGGCACCCCTATGTTGCATATGTGGGAGTGCTTGAAGTTGTCCCAGAAGCTGCTTACACTATCCTCATTTTTTTTGGATTCTTTCTCTTCTTGTTCTGATTGGTTGTTTTTCTTTCCTTATGTTCTAAATCGTTGATTTGATGCTCGGCTGCATCCACTCTACTGTTGTTCTTTATTTCAATTAGTGTATCCTTAGTTTCTGACTGGATCTTTTTTATGCTGTTGAGGTTTGCTAAGTTACTTGAGCATCCTTATAACCGGTGTTTTGAACTCTTCATGTGTGGCTTTTTTTCTGGAGTTTTGATCCATTCTTTCATTTGGGCCATGTTTCTTTGTCTCCTCATTTTGACAGCCTCCCTGTGTTTGTTTCTGTGTATTAGGTAGAGCTGCTTTGACTATCTTTATAGCATGGCCTGATGTGGTAGGTGTCCTGTAGGGTCCAGTGGCACAGCCTCCCCATCACCCAAGCTGGGTACTCAAGGTGTACTCTTCGTGTGGGCTGAGTATATCTTCCTCTTATAGTTGAGCCTTGATTGCTGTTGGCAGGTCAATTGGAGGGATTTACTTAGGTCATTCAGCAGCAAGGACTGGCTGTAACCACTGATCACCAACCTCCACCCTCCCTGGAGGATCAGAGGCAGGGTGAAGATGCTCCAGGATGGTCTGTAGCTGTCCACTGGGTGAGTAGGCCCAGGGGTTTCCCAGTTGGTGCAAGCCAAGGTCAGCCCCCTCTGTGTTTTTCCTAGGGCCACCTTGCCTGAGCTATACAGCAATCTGAGATGGCTGCTACTTGTACTGGGCTTGGAGATTTCCAGACAAAGCCAAATTGTGAATCTAGGCTGGCTTCTGCTAGTGCTGAGCCTGGGGCCATATAGCAAGAGGTGTAGGGGGCTCACTGAGGCTAACTGTTGCTTGTCTGAGAGAATTTAGGAAGTTGTGAAGCATGAGCCAGACCAGCCAATTTCTACGTGGGTAAGCTACTGTTAACAGCTATACGTTGGGTGCAGCAGAGCCTGAAGGGATCTCCAGGGCAGGGAAAACAGTGTTAGCCAGATTGATGAAGTCTCAGATATGGCACCTGCCTACTGCCTCTGTGGCTCTTGGGGAGAAAGTTCATAAAAGGGACAATGGCATCTGCCCACCTTTCTGTCTGGGAGAAAGCTTTCCTGAGCTCTTGCCTTGATGTCAGACACTTCAGTTCTTCCCTGTATGCCACTGGTGCCCTTCCAGCTGCTACTCCGGTGCTGGAGCTTAGAGGAGGTCTTGAGTAAGACTGTGTGTGGGTTCTTTATAAGAACTACTTGGGATTCTAGAAGTTTGTTCCACCAACTGAGTCCCCTCTGATTTTTGCAGCTAGAGTTATGGGACTTATCTTCCTGGCACTGTAACCCTGGGTTGGGGGGCCTACTGTGGGGCTGGGATTCCTTGCTCCTGAGAGATCCCTCCTGAATTTTTATCCCCCACCCATGGGTGTGTGACAGCCTGTTCTGTGTCTCTGCCCTGCCTACCAGTCTGGATGGGTGTGGTTTCTTTAATTCCATGGTTGTCAGAGTTCATTCAGCTCAATTTCTGGCAGTTCTGAGTGATGGTTGTTCTATAATTTTGTTGTAGTTTTGATGTGGTTGTGCAAGGAAGGTAGCCCTGTTTACCTGTGTTGCCATATTGACTGGAGGTCCCTCTTCTGCTCTTGAACATTGAAAATATCACCTGTCTTAGTCAGCTTTGGCTACCATAACAAAAATACCATAGACAGCATTGCATAAACAAATTTATTTTCTTATAGGCCTGAAGGGCTTTAATGTCCGAGATCAGTTTGCCCCCATGGTCAGGTTCTGATGAGGGTTCTCTTTCCTGACTTGCAGATAGATGACTGCCTTCTTGCTGTGTCCTCGAATGTTGGAGAGAGGTTGGCTTCTGACATGCTTCTTTTTATAAAGATGCTAATCCCATTGTTACAGCCCTACCCTCATGTCCTCACCTGAACCTAATTACTTTCCAAAGGGTCTGCTTTCAAATACATCATTACACAGGATGGTAGGGCCTCAGCATATCAATTTTATTCAAAGTAGCATAGACTGGGTAGCTTATAGACAACAGAAATTTATTTCTTACAGTTCTGGACACTGGAAGTCAGAGATCAGAGTGCCATCTTGGTGAGGTTCTGGTCAAGGCCCTCTTCGTTTTGCTGACTGACAACTTCTTGCTCTGTCCTCACATGGTGGAAAGGGGAGCTCTCTGTAGTGTAGGAGAGTTCCTGCACTATTCATGAGGACTCCACATTTGTAACCTAAGCACCTTCCAAAGACCCCACCTCCTAACACCATCATATTGGGCATTAGGATTTGACATATGAGTTGGTGGGGAGGGGTGGCGCACAGACCCTCAGACCATAGCAAGTCGATAGCAGTACCTTTGCACAATGAGTAATGTTTTTTCTGGAAAGTGTATTTGAGTGTGTTTGAGTGTGTAGGAAGGCAATCAAAATTAGGTATGAGAAGTTGTTTAATGGAGATGTCTGAGATACTCACTTCCTTCTTCCCTGTTGAAGCCATAAAGGTTGTAGAAGATATCATCATACTTGTGCTAATAATTATAGAAAAATTGTAAATCTTATCATGTGCTTTACATAGAGGTCTCATTCAAGTCTCATAGTTATCTTATAAAGTACAATATTTCATTTCATAGATGAGTGGTTAAAGAGGTGGAATAATTTTGTTGGGTTACAAAGCTAGTCAACAGCAGAATCAGATTTAAACTGAAGCAGCCTGACTCCAGAACCCACGTGCTTACATAAGACCATTTCCTTAGATTTATACATATAAAGCTTTTGTTTTCCTCTACTTGTATGTTAAAGCTTAAAATGTTTGGTTAAAAGTTTTGGTTATTCCATCTAAAATAAAACATAGATTAAGAAGAGCTCTAATTTTAATACTCAGTTATATATAAATAAAATTTAATTTTGAATTTTTACCATGGGCCATAATGTCTGCTAGTGGAAGAAAGAGATAAGAAGGCCAAGATAATCAACAGTTAAATAAGCAGGTCTGAAACCGTTTCCATTAAACCATTAATATGTTTGCTACTGCTACTGCTACTGCTTTTACTTTCATTTTGATATAATTTTGATTTAGGTATAATGAATCCTGGGATGCCTTTAAACTTCTAATATTTATGCATTGCTTTGTCATTTTTTAAAACTGGAAAGAATCTTTTTTTTTCTTTTGCATAAAATCATTGCCAGATAGCTTTGATTTATCCTATTTTGCAGCCACATTCCCAAACCAAAAAGTTTGTATCAGTTTTGATTTGGGGAGTAAAGATAAACTTCAGTAACTTGTCCAATTTGTTGTATGAATTATATACATATTTAGTTCATATTTAATAGTCAACCTTAAGTCATGATTAGCACTTTCCAGATATGTGTTATTTTTATAAACATTTTTCAATTATAGTTAACATATAACAACATATTAATTACAGTGTATAATGTAGTGGTTAGACATTTATATACCATACATCAGATTTGTATTCAGTTAGAATCAATACGGGAATAGTTTTCTTGTACATGCTCACTAGAAACTTTACATATCAGAAAGTTAAATGAGGAAGAAAATTGGTTTCTAGTGGTGTATGTTTTTATTTTTAAGTTTTTTTAAAGACCATTATTTTACTTGTGACTTGTTCATATATTTGTACTTTTTATTTTCATAGCCTAGATTGTGTGGTTTGTTACTTTTCAGCTTTCAAAGGTTTAACCATGTTTAATATTGTTATAAAACAAAAAATAATTTTTTAAAATTTGTAGTCATTATCAACATGGCTCACAGCAACTTATAGTTGGAATA